CCACACACACACACACACACACACACACACACACACACACACACACACACACACACACACGCACACACACACAAATGTAGTAGTGTATACTTCCATACTCTAGCGGTAGATTCATTCAATTTCGCTCATCCTATCGATGGAAGAGTGCGCAAAGGGACGTTCTGTAGTTTGGACGAACTGGCAAATATCCGACGGAGAGACTGGACTCGCGTCTGAGAGAGTTGGGCGTATAGACCCCTGGAAGACTTTCGCATTTGCAGACAGGATTTACGTACGTCTTTAGTCCAATACCAGCGATGAGTGGAGTCACCCACTGTTTGGGACATTGACAGGGGAATCTCAGCAGAGGCGGCAAGTGATAAAGCAGAAAGATTGGATGCCATATCAATATTATCCTTTGAAGTTTGAGGCCAGTTGTGAAGTTTGAGGCCAGTTGTGTACTTCAAATCTGATGCCCTCAGAGAGTGTAAGCTTTGTAAAGACTCCTTGCACAGGGACACTCCATTACAAAGTGTAGCATGGGACGCTCGACCCGCTTTCCAGCAGGTGGCGCTCCCCACTCATAGAACGGAGCCTCTGATAAACCAGGGCATCCGTATTACCGATGGGGACCTACCTCCCCATGGGTCAAAAGACTGCTCTCACAGATTAGAGTTTTCAAGAAGGGGGGGGGGGGGGGGGGGGGGAGGGGGAAACAGTGCAGCCTCAGTGCAGACACTGCAGAGCAGACTCATTATTTGCACAATAAGATACTGTGCAGTGTGGGGCACCGTCGTGACAGCAGTACTGTCAACATTTTTTGTTTTCTCTCGAACCCATCGCATGGAATGCTTGATCGATCGTACAGGGATTCTCCTACTTCTTGAGCAGAGATAGTCAGGTCAGAAGGGTGATGATTGCAACTTGCACGTAATGCAATTGCATGCGATTCGACTAAGTTATGCAAGACATACAGTAGTAACTACTACCTGTGAGAATTAAGGCCGCCTTTTTTTTTTTTTTTGGAAAAACATCTGCCGGGCTGTGCTAGAGGGGGGTGATGCCAGCATCCTCCACTCGTACTGCACCGTGGCGGGTGGCTCCAATCTATTGGTGGGGAGAGGCACCTGCCCGGAAAACAGGTCCATCGTCACAATCAGCATATTTACAACGAACTTACAGAGGGCATTACATCTTTTAACATTGGGGTAACTACGGCGCAGTCACGTTTTCAGTTCGAAATCTACTTCAGTCATCCCTCGAATACAACACATCCCCAGCCCCCAACCCTAAATCTGGGTTGGATACATTCACGATTTGGCCTCACTTTGGTGCAAAATTCGCGACACCTTGACTGAAGTCTGAAACACATTTATAACTCAAAACCTCTTGACTGCGCCCTAGTTTTCCCTTTAACATTTTGATGTGAGAAAAAAGATCCACAACTCCTGAAATGCTTGATTGTACACAACATCGGAAATGCTTGATCATGCGGAGGTGAGGTGCGGTTATCGTGAATCCCTTCAGGATGAGGTAACTCGCTCTGGAGCTTCGTTGTGATTTGAAAAGTATTCCTTGTTGCAGATGAAGTTTCAGTTTGCCACCTTCTGTGTGATATGTTCGCAGAGAGTCTTCAGTTGCTGGCAGCCTGATTGTTGTTATATCGTGCATGATCGTGCAATGTTGTGATTAACAGGCTGGCCTACAACACACAGTGGATGAATATGTGATGCTGTATCCAGGCTATGTACCAGCACCAGGAATTGAACCTAAGATATTGCACTATGGACTGGAGTTCTCAATTGGCAATTGGTCATTTGGAAAGCTGCAGCACTACGACAACGACGTAGCCTACAGCTGCAATGGATATTTTGATGCTCCCCCTTGTCCAGAGACGATCGATGACATCGATCCGGATCAACGAAGAGCTGATCTGCTGAAGATCGAATGCGTCGACACAATCAACGAAGGACTTGCTATTGTTCACAGGCAGAGGGGATGTGGACTTCCAGATGAAACGCTGCCGAGGGATCCTCCTACAAAGCTTTTCCTTGAAGAAGATACACAGGAGGAGAAATCCAAACTCCCAAACGCAGGCGAGAACACTTTGTCGAATTTAGTCGTCGACAGAAAGGTGCCTGTCCCACGGATTCGAGAAGTGGTGACCAGCAAGACAGAGATGATGCTGAGTGCGGATGAGAGTAAGGGGAGTGGGAGTGAGCGTAGGAGTAAGAATGGAAATGGGGGGGGCATGACGGCTTCCATAGCCGCAGAAGAAGCAGGTAGTAGGAGTGATCTTGAGGAGAATGAACACCTTCGAGCACAGCAAAAGGTAGAGAACAAGTCATTCAGACCCAAAAAAGGAGATGAAGCTAGGAGCTGGAGGCAGAATTGGCACAGTCCACAGGTGAGTGGAGCACCAGCTGCAGAGGGAGAAAATAGAATGGACGTCCTTGATGAGGGTGTCGGATTCCAAGCACAGCAAAAGATCAACACATCGAGGAGGGGGCATTGGAGTGAGAGTGGTATTAGGCAAAGAAAGGTTGTTCCACACATGGGTGCTGAACATGCTGTGGGTGAAGCAAACCAAATGGGGGACCTTCTTGAAACCAGGGGGGATAGATTACGAGTTCACCAAGGGGGGGCGCAGAGCACGACAGAGTGGGGAGCTGAACGGCACAACTGGAGCGGGAGTGGGAACAAGCAAGGTTTTGAGGTGGACAGACCGTTTGGGGGAGGCGTAAGTAGAACGCATCTAGCAGGAGGAAGTGACATGGGTAGTACTGGATCAAGTGCCATGGACGTCGGAGCAACCGGAATAAACCGCGTGGTGCAGAGAACGGACGTAGCCGGAATGAAATCCCAGATAACAGAGGGGGTTGTGGATGTGGGGGATGGGCTGGATTTTTTTGCTTCCAAAAAATGGAGAAGTGGAAGTAAGGGGTCTCCTTGTAGTGCAACCCATGAAAGGAGAAACAGAGGAGAACCTTCCTTTCAAGTTGATGGGGACGAAAGGGTTTCTGCTGACACCTCTGCAGGCGACTTGGGTTCCAATCACCATACAGCTGGGACCTCACAACCTGGTCACATATCATCATCAGCAAATGCCACCTCGCACGAGCAGAGGGGGGAGAAACAGCTCACTGGCACAGCGCCCCTAACCGGAGCATTCCCATTGTCCATCCTTGGAACAAGTCAAAAGTCCGGGAGTAAAAACACCAGTCATACCGCACTTCATAGTGCCCTTCGCAATCATTCATGGACAGCTGGAGCACATGTGAGTGCTTCCAGGGTTGTGGATCGGATACACACAATCTTCTACGCAGAATGCTCACCGGATTTTGACAGGCATACAGCTGCGCTTCTGTACAGCAAAGCCAAGAATGGTCATCCTGGGCCAATCACTCGACTGCTAAGCTGCGATCCCAGTGATTTGGAGTCCTACGAGGCCATGGATCTCTCCAGAACCCATTTGACTTTGAGACAGACCAGAACCAGAAATGATGGGTATTCATCCCTCCATCCTTTCTTTTCTGTGTGTGGAAAGAGAGCTCCGATCTATTTGCGGGGAGCAGCACGTGCTGAGAAGCAAGCCTAGCGCCCCATATGAATATATAATATATATGCATCCCTCCATCCTGAAAATGGCTTGTTCTGAAACTCTCCAACAGCCACTCGCTGGAAAGATATCTCATGGTTGTTGTTGTTGTTGTTGTTGTTGTGTGCCCTCATGGTTGACCACATGTGGTGGCAAAATCTATTTGTGAATCTTTGTGATTAGAATGAGATCGCTCAAAATCATGTTTGGAAATGAGATCGCTCAAAATCATGTTTGGAAATGAGATGGCTCAAAATCATGTTTGGAAATGAGATGGCTCAAAATCATGTTTGGAAATGAGATGGCTCAAAATCATGTTTGCCCAACAACAACAACAACAACAACAACAACAACAACAACAAAAACAACAACAACAACAATGATGATGATGATGATGATGATGATGATGATGATGATGATGACATGTAGTGATAATTGTGAAAGTCATGATTGTAATGAATGAAGTAATAATTATTGGGGGGAAAAAAAGGGAAAACACGACAGGGCGTTGGGGCCTTATGGTCCCAGCTCCCGTCTATTCTGGGGACAATCAGGCTGGTTCCTTATCCACCTGCAAGGCTGCAACTCAAAATTACAACAGATAACACACTCGATTTGACTCGAACGTTTTCTTCCGTTGTCAAAGGGACCCCTGAACAGCTTGCTACTTTTAGAGGAGGATTAACTGTCAGGTGGACCTCTTAACCGTCCCAGGTCCCTTTCCAGCATACACGTGCTTTCTCGGCCCTTTTGAGGTTTCGGTCTACTCAATCGTATGATGCCTCCTAATGAGAGAAACCCCCTCACTGTTGTCTTGTAGCTGGACTGGGCTATCACCTCGTGCAGTGGACTACCATCTCTTCCATCTGAGATGGTCCTCCTGTGTGTCCGACGTCCGTGATCCTACCCCCAATCAACTGGTTCTTTGAAAACATCTTCACCTGCGATTTTTATTTATTATTATTATTTTTTATTTTTTTTTTATTTTATTTTTTTTTACCAACGCAGGGCCTTATGGTCCTGGCTCCTTCTATTCTGGGGAGCGTCAGTCCGGTTCCTATTCCACCGGCAAGCCAAAAGAATCATTACATCAATAAAAACTCACACACGCTTCCTTCCGTCGGCCGAAGGATCCCTGAACAGCATTGATTGCTCCACTATGGTGGAGGATTGACTGTCAGCTTGCCTTRTCCCCYTCTTTCCTCTCAGACCTAARGTTCCGGTCTGCCTGATAGCACCATTATTCCTAGAAAGAGCTCATCCGATAAYCTTGCCGTTCTGTTTCCACCCCCYGCATCTCYCAGTCCCTTTTGGAAGATCTGTGATAAAYCTTAGACCCTAAGCCTTCACCTTTGAGGCGTGATGTCCCTCTTCCCATTTTAGCTACTCTCTCTTTTTAAGACATCCTGACAAACATCRACTCTTCCCCCTCAAAATGTGAAACGGTATTACTTCAACCCTTTGGGCCCGCCCTTTTCCCCTTGTTCTGGTCTTGCGGTGCCATCGCTCCAACTTTGTGCTGTCAAAAATTGCTGTGACATTTTATGGTTGTCGAGGCCCCGTAGAGGTCTGATCTGACTGTGTTTTGCCCTTCCCTTGTTATCTGTTCTCGATAGCCTCTCTCTGAGATTTCAGCTATGCCCATCATTCCAAAATACGCTTTTCGTGTCGTGTTCCAGAGTATGATTGTAACCACCGCCTTTGACCTCCGGAGGAAGCTTCTTTCTGGCAATGAGTCATGCTTCCAGTAGATACAGTCCTCATCGCTCTCAGTCATCCTGCTTTGTCACTACCCCGTTCTTGTATAGCCTCTGTCTCCCGTTCTTATGCTGTTCCTTGTCTTCTGCCTAGGCTTGCACAATGCCATTGTCTCTTCAAGATTCTGGTCCGGAGATGCCTTGCCCTTGCCCCGTTGGTCCTTGTCCAAGACTGTTCCGAGAGTTGGAGTTGTGCCAGTCCTTCCAGTAGATACGGTCGTCTCGTATATCAGCAACTTTTCCTCCTATCAACCATAACCTGTTGAACTTCAGTCTTGCCTTCTTCCGCTGTTCCTCGCCTTCTGACCATGATAGTTTGATTTTCCGCCATTGGCATAGGATTTCCGCCTGTATCATTGCTTTCGTCTCCAGCCAACACATTTCTCGTGCGTTGGCCACTCCTTCGATCGTTCTGCTGCATCTTTCCTTCCATATGACCCACAGTGTCACCTTCCTGATGAGTCCATACCAAATCTTTTCCGCTTTCAGTTGTGCAGGGATGTTAGTCAGAAGAAGAAGTTGGATGGGAAGTTCGGGGAAGGGGGTCGGGAAAAGGGAGTTCCATAGGGACGATGCTCTTGCCCAAAATTCTGTTGCCTCCCTACAGTGTACTAAACAATGAACTATATCCTCTACAGCCCCTTCCGTACATACTTTGCACTGTTCGGAACTATCGGGATCTGAGCCCTTCCGCCTCACGTGAAGCCATTGGTTAACTGGTAGTGCCGCATATATAATCATCCATTGGAGACTCCTGATTTTAATTGGTCTGAT